TGCTGCCTTCCAGCGGGACATTTTGGGTTCGAGTGGGTGTTTTTGAGGATGTGTTACCCCTTCGGCTCCTAGCGGTATTTTGGGGGTTTTTTTCTTTCCCTCTGTTTTTTCACCTTCTGACCCTCGGGGCCGTGCAGCTCCGGTGCCCCAGCTGCGGTGCCGGCAACCCCCAGGCGTGAAAGGGGGGTTGCCTTGTCCCAGTGTTGCTCTTGGAGCCTGGAGATGGGAGCCAGGTTTTGTACTCACATGCGTCCTTGTAAATAAATATTCAGTAGTGGAACTGAAAGGAATGGCACGGTACCAGGGGTTTACCGGCAGTCTGGATGAAAGCCCATCAGTCTCTTTGGCACAGGAGCCTTTTTTTTTCTTACTTTAGAAACCTAACGTGGGAGAGAGTGAGTTCAAGTGACTGTGCCGCATCTAATCCGTGCGTTCTGCACCCCTTGCTTGTTTGCATTAGTGGATAGTTACTGCAGACAGTGACCAGTGTGCATATTGCTCTCTAAGTTGTTCTCACCAAAGGCAATGTCCCACTTGCAAAGTAGCTATGAATACAACTGATGGAAACCAGCTCTCTTCCCAGACTGATTTGATGTGCCTTTGGTAGCAGCGTGTTTTGCTGATCTCTCAGCTGTGATCCTGTTTCACCTGTTTCCCGTGCCTATCTGTGTACTAATATATGTACTTTTATTAGGGGAATTTTGCATGCAGTTTCTGTGCTTATTTGCCCTGATTCGAACATGGTCACACCAATACAACGGTGCCTGTCTCCATAGCTGTGTTTTGTTAAAGCAAAAATTGAGTGGAGCAGCTCATATCACTGTGCAGCTCCAAGTCAGCAGAGCCTTGAAGCATCCGATTAATATTAAGCATGTAAATAGTCTCATGAAATCTAGCAGAGAAAATTCCCAAAGTTGACAATATGCTGGAAGATCTTCCAGCAGCAGGAGCTGGGGGTGGTGCAGTCCTTCCCGCACCGAGCCTCCGGCAGCGGGCGAGGGGTCAGCAATGTGTGCTGCGAGCAACCAGCCGTGAGAAGCCCCCCAGTGCCCAGGCAGGCTGTTTCCTGGAAGCGGCAGTTGCAAGGAAGAGAAAGCAGATGGGTCTGGGACGTTAAAATCATGATGATACTTGCAACTCAGTGTCATGCATGAAATGTGACTGCACAGAGGAACCTCCTCTGTCTCATTTGTATTTAGATGATAGGAATTACTGACACAGAAGAGCTTCTGTTTTTTATTCCATTGCGTTGCTCTGAATCAACACCAGGAGGACAAAACCCTGTCCCAGGTTGTCAGCCTGGTGATTTCTCACTAGGAGGGAATTAATTTGGTTGATTTTTCTATCCAGAGAGTACCACCATCCCGGTCGAGCTGGTACTCTGGCTGTAAAGCAGTAAGGCACGTTGCAGTGGCATGGTGGGAACACAGCTCGGGTTGTAGTCTCCCGGCCAAGTGGGATGGACTCCTGCGTGGAGTTGTTCACCGTGTGGAGGCGGAGGAGTAGCCAACACAGTGCTCTCTCCGCATTCCTCTCCGTGTAGCCAAACCAGAGCCTGAGTCAGCGAAGCCACAGTTGCAGGAGAGCAAGCACAGCTCCGTGGTTGTGGCCAGGGCTGGGCAGCACAATGTGTGTTTTAAAGCCCTGCCTCTGCCCGTGCCTTCCTGTCCTGAACAAGCCATTTAACCTCTCTTCATCGTGGTTACTTATCCTGTAAAGGAGGGAAATGATACTTTTTAGGGGATATCAGCAGAGTTAATTCCATAGCGCATGTGGCATGCATGGAGGGGAGTCATGGAAAAAACACCCTTGGGCCAGCTCTCACAGGTCCCCAAAAGACAGCTGTGAAAAGCAAGTCCACAGCTCTGACCAGCTAAGCCTGCAGACTTCTTAACGGGGTCTGCAGTTTTGATGGGAAACAGGTACGGATCCCAAAAAGAAAAAAAAATTGGAAATCACTGCTTTTAAGATGAGAAGATGAATGGCTTGCAGAGTGTTTCTGAGAGTTCAAAATGAGTAACTGTGTGTGAACTGAATGGGATGACACCAGAATTAAGGCTTTAGCCCATGTTTGAGTGCCTTAATGCCTTAGAGCCTTATATGCCAATGTGCTGCAGTGGTTTGTGTCTCTTAAACCAACATAAAGCATCCAGGGCTGGATCCTTCTGCACCCTCAACCTCAAGAGCACCTTCCAGCACAGCCTTCATTCCCTGTCCAGTGGCAGGGATGAGGCAGCCCAGCACCCATCCTCATTAGGACCATCAGCTGCCGTCCTGCTGCATCTGTGGAGAGTTTTCTCACAAGAACAATGCTCATAGTGGGACAAGGTCTTCTGCTCCAGTCTCATGGAAAGGACTCAGCACAGGGTAACACTGAAACATGAGATCACAGTTGTCTCAGACTTTGTTTGCGTTGGCTGTGGCTGTTTTCTCAGAGAAATTTCTCCGATTTGTAGCTCCACAATTTGACTTTAACACGTTTTGCAGCACTGAAGAGGCCCTGACACAAGAGCTGTCAGCCCTCTCCCAGGCTGAACATGGCCAGCAGTTCCCACTTCGCTGCGGAGTTTTGCTTTTCTTTCATTCTTGGCTCTATCCCAACTTTCTTTGACCATGTGCCTCCCCTCCCCACGTTCACCTCCAATTTTGGACAGGGCAGTAGCTCAGAGGCACCAGAGGAGAGGTGGCCAGTGCAGGTGCAGGAGGGGAACCACTGCCTTAGCAGGCTGGAGGACTTCCGAGTGCTGGTAAAAGAGTTTCCCATCCCTTGCACTGCACAGTAGAGCTGCTGGGCTGTCCTGCGGTGTCACCTCCAGATCTGCATCGCACAGAGTGCCTGCTGGCTATGGACTGCGCCAGCCCCTCCGTAGCACACCCTGCTCCCCAAGCTGTCTCTCACACTGGCCCCTCTTCACCATTCCTGTCCCTATGTGAAAGGCTATAACAAAAGTGTCACGTTTCTGACCTAGCCTCTGTACCGATGCTCGCATTCATTTCATAATTGTGCTCCACCACAAGACTCTTCTTAACAGACTGGAGAGGAGGACCTAATTTATTTGGGACTCTGTAGATCAGTGACTTGGTTTGCTCCAGCCAGTGCTGTGTCCCTGCAGTGGGAGGCATTCTGCCGAGCAGGACACCGCTAGCCTGTGTGTGCTGGTGTCAGGGGCTCTGCTGGTGGGGTGAGAGTTGAGGGGCGGGGAGGAATAATCAAGCCGTTTTGTACAGCTGTGAAAGCATGGCGAAACTTAACCTGTGTTTTTTGTTAATATTTGAGGACAATTGGGAGTCCCAGAGAGGAAACATTTAGCTCTTATTTTTCCTGTTTTTACATTCACTCGGCTAATCGCTGAGTAACATTCTTCTCTCCAGGGCACTAGGCAGCCCACTCCGAGCCTCACAACTCCCCTTTCCCATACCACGTGGAAAGTCCTGCAACATCTGTTTACAAGTGGGGAAATCAAGGTACCTCAAGAATTTCTCCCCCATTCCCTGAAGCACCCACTGTGGATCTTTAGTTGTCACCTGGGTCCTAATATTTGAGACCCACCGTCCAAAGCCAGAGGGTGTGAGGACTTGGCCTCAGGTGTCCCAGCATGTGATGAGACACAGAGGATTCACACATGCTTTGGCACTGGTGACTCCCTTGGGACGCGTAGCAGGTCAGCATCAGCTCAGCCAAACCCATATAGACTATAGGAATACAGTCTGAACTGGACAAACTGGATGATCTTTACTGTTAGTCCTCTGGAGCTTGCTAACTTGAGGAGTTACCCAAAGTAAATGCTCTCCTGTCTTGATTAGCTATTTGTTGGTGTTCTCTAAGCATTTTTTCCCATTAGCACAAGGGTGTGCACAGTAAAGACGGCAGCTTTTCCTATGAGGTCTGTAGTAGGTTCTGCCACAGAAAACAGTCCCAGGAAACCTTGGTGTTAACCTCAGTTCATTCTTTTCTCCTCTCCAGAGCATCTGTGACCAGGAGGACTTTTGGGCATAGTGGCATCGCTGTGCATACGTGGTACGCCTGTCCAGCACTAATAAAGTCTATCTGGGCTATGGCCATTAGTCAACATCAATTCTACCTGGACAGAAAGCAAAGCAAGGTAAGCATGTTGGAGGTGGGAAGTGCATGTTACAGTGGGTGAGTCCTTCTCACTCCCCACAGTCCCAGCAGGGTCAGGTCCAGATGGTGGCTCCTTTCCTGCCCTCCCTTTCCACTTGAGATCAAAAAAAGGCAAATTGATGCAAAATATCTTCTGGCTTTGGTAAGATTGAGGGAATTTGTATCGAATTCATGTCTAAGGGAGTGAGGATTCAGGGAAAGGTTGTACTGAACTGTAGCCAAAGTGGAGGAGCCAAAGTTTGCAAGCAGATAGGGTTGCATCCCTGTCTGGACGGTTTCAACATGTCTTCTGGTTCTTGAACTCTCTTATAAAATTAGAGTAGCTTCCAATAACTGAGTTCAAAGTAGCTTCACACTCTACACCTGTTTCTGAATTCTTCTTGCTGTCCCTTTGCTTTTTACTATTGTATTTTCCTGGAAATGAGGTGTAGGGATATTATTTCTTTCCCCACACAGAATCTCACAACAGAAGGAGATGGGCAGGGCGCTGCAGCCTGGCCTTACAAGGAATTGTCTTGATCTGGTGCTGCACAAAGGGCCACTCAATATACAAAAGAAACCACCTTGAAATCGGAGGAGTGTGTGTTCTCCCTCTAATTCCTCTCGTCAACAGTAATTTTAGGCATACCCAGAGCAGCAGGAGATTGGTTTGATCGCTTTGAGACAGAAGAGAGACTTCTCATGCAGACACCCTTCTCCATACGAGCATGCTGGTGTAAAACTTTACAGAGAAGGTAGAGCCTGTACTGAGTGGGTGCCTTCTTATACAGCTGCCTGCATTGCCCTCCATCTCTGGTGAGATGGCAGGAATGTGCAGGGTGATGCTCCTCCAAATGGCTGAAACAATCTTAACATCTCACTGTTGCTGAAAGCACAGCCCGCATTTACAGGCAGGGGCTGCTCCCTCCCTTGCACAGGCCCTGGCCCTGTCAGGTCCCTGCATGAGCCAGTTCAGCCCACTAAACTGGCAGAAAAATATTTCTTTTTCCTGTTTGTCTTTGCTGCATTATTTTTCTGCCAGTTAAATTAATTGAGTTGGCTTGCTGAAATTATATGAAGGGCCATCCGTGTGCTATTAGTCCAGCTCACTCTAAACCCGTCTGACGTTGCTTTCCTCATCGTGATCTCTGTGACTTTATTGTAGAGTGGGTAGGACTTTCAGATGCCTTGGGCAGAACACACGGTTACAGTCACTTTGGCCATGTCCCATCTAATGCAAAAACCCAGGATTCATCTTAGTTGCCGTGAGCTGTGTTGAATTTAGGGGCATAGCTAACTTCCCATCCCTGCCTAACTGCCAGCTGTGAATATGGACAACATTGCATGCTCACCCGATACCAAGTAATGCTTTCCTGTCCCCCTCCTTTGCTGTGGACCACCACAGCAATGCATAGCCCTCTCTGTTTTGCTCTCAACAAAAACAACTCAGCAAACAAACAGAAGTTTATTTTTTTTTACTTTTAGTCAGATGGATTTGCTGATCTAGCTGCAAGGTATTTAGGTCACAAGCAACCAACAAAAACAAGGAGATTCCCTCCTCCTCCCATGTCTTTGGTAAGAAACTGGGTCTCTTAAATGCCCAGGACTTCCTTTCAGTGACTTCTTTTGTTGTTGGCAGATTGTGTTTCAATCTGATCTCCCCTCTCTCACACTCCTACAGACAGCACCACCCACCAGCCCTCATTTGTCAACCTGTCACGTCTGTGACCATGTCAGTGTGCTTTGTCACAATAATCCCAGTGGTCACGCTAGGCTTTGAAGTTAAGGCATACAAACATTTTTGTCCCTTTCTCTTAAGAGAACTGGTATTTTATCTGTTGTCCTCGTCCTTGACATGACACTGTCAAGATTGATAGAGCCATCAATTTTAATTTATCTGTCCAATTCATCCTGCTGGTCACTTCAGGACACCGTACTCGTGTGCTTCGGTTCTGAAAACCAGGAAAACATATTCCAGAGTGGGACACTGTGAAATGTCTTCGTTTCAGCTCTCGAGGGCTTAGACAAACATTTATTTAAGTTTCAGGTCGCATGGGTTTGTATCCCCTTAAATCTCAGCCCCCAGTTCAGTTGAATCCCCAACTTCAAAGCGAAACTTAGGTATTCCTTCCTTTCATGTCCAAACTTGGCATTTCATATCGTTTTGACAAAAGAAAGAAAAATAAAAACAGACTTAGAAGAAAAAGCCTGCTGGAGCTCACTGCAGCTGAGCCTTCACTCCAGTGATATAGATTAGATGGCAGGAGATACGACAGTCATAAAGCAAGCTTGAACTCTGTGCTCCTCACATAACTGGGCACCAGTTGGATCTGAACCTTCTGCACAGCTCCACTGGAAAACCCCCTTCACGTGATTTTAAAAAGAAATAAAATCAGCTTTGCCTGGATTTTGACCGTTCTGCAAAGAAGTGAGGTCCCAGCCTTCTTTGCAGCCTCACTCCGCGTTGAACTCCTGCCAGCTCGATGAGTTCCCAGCATCTCGCTCCCTGCTGATCTGGCTCTCTCTCCTGCAATCGAAGCGTAACGTGGAGACTGAAAAGATCCCCAGCTTTCCGAGTGAACATGTCAGCGTGCAGAACTCCTGTCAGCTTCCCTTTTTTTCAGGAGACAGATGCAGCAGGACTTCAAGGCATGTCTTTGCTCTGTTGACTGCACTGAGTCAATCAAACGTTTGGCCTAGAAGCCTTGAGAAGTCCCATTTTGTGGGAATTTCCAACAGCACGTTCCTCCAACCGCAAGGCTTTTTGCCTGAATGAGCCGGTAGAAAATAGGCCAAGGGTTTCAAAAGATCACCTGCAGCAAAGCCCCATCACCGCAAGCGCGAGGGATAAATTCATCCCTAGTGTCCATCTACTCTTGCATTTCACTGATGGATTTTTCTTCACCCTCTGACCCTGTCAGAACAACACTGGGGATCAGTTTGGCCCCATGCTTTGAAATGACTCATGAATGAGCCAGTCTCCCTCCATGTAAATGAGACTTGGCAGGTCTGTGCTAAGTGCTTTAAAATTTTGAGCCTGGAGGGACTGCAGGGCCCGAGGGAGCGCTAATGGGATGTAATCTAGCTTTCCACAATTGTGCTGTCAGTACAAAGTCTAGCCCAGGCCTTGCGCTGGCTGCTGCTCAGTGGCCTGTATGAAATGAGCTGTTGGGCTGGTTTCCGCT